TCTCCATCAGTTTCGCACCAAAGGTTTTCATTTTACTCAGATGTGTCCCCGAGCAGGAGTGGGCTTGCCCCCGACACTGCTCCATATCTAAGCCCCATGTGTCAGTCATTTCAGAGAGCAGCTTCTCTGCTAACGCCTCTCCATCTCTTCAAAGGGCAAGAATCCAGCGAACTTCTCCTGCTGGCAGTTAGACTTGTCTACATAACGGAGGAAGACGGGGAGGAACCATTCTCCTGAGATCTGCACCAGGTCATCAGTGAGTAACGAGAAGAAGCCGTTCACTTTGACTCCCTCCACCAGCTTACTGTGGACGTATTTCTCACACACCTCCATCAGCTGATTGAGCGTTCCTGGGGAGCAGCACTCTTTATTCTCGTCATACCTCTTCTTCAATGCTTCATCCCCACATGTCATACGATACGCTAACAGCGCCTCAAAGTTGCTTGAAGCGAGACTTTCCTGTTTGTCATCGCCAGGCCCTGTCGGAGGAATGCTCTGCCCTCCCAACAGCACAAGAACTTCAAATAAAGACTTCAGATACTGTTTGTATTCGTCCTCCTCTGGGAGCATCTGGACATCTTCCTTAGCTGGCTCTGCCGGAGACTTTTTCATTTCTACACAGGGAAACAAAAACAGAAATTAAAATCACCAAAACTGGATGTGGGAGTCATTTTGTTTCATTGTCAAGTAATAGGCCCCGTGTCCACCTTGCGTTTTTTTCCGGGGAGAAAGCGCTGGTTGTGCGCTCGGGAGCACTTACATGAAGTGTTTGTGCGCTGAGATGAAAAGTGCTGCATGTCCGTTCTGTCTCTATGACAACAGTCTGTTGACAACGGCCGCTGTATGACTGACACTGCTCTGTTACTTTTGACTTCATGTTTGACATTTTAGATAGTTTTTTACCCGATCAGACACGGAGCAAAGACGATGTGGGAATAAGACATGATCTGTAGGCGGCATAAATACAGGGAATATCATACAATTTGGAAAAGAGCGCCGGTGACATCAACAGTGCCTTTCTGAAAAGTTGAAAAGAAAGATTTTCAACTTGAAGGGTTCGGAGCGGGCGCACAAAAAAGCCGGGGCACTAGGAAAAAAGACTAAGCGTCTGAGCGTCCTGAAAATAACACTGCGATTTTTCTCATGGCCGCCGTCTGCTTATGCAAGCGCTCTCTGCTCATTGAAAATAATTGAAAAATGAAAACAACAAGATGGACATGGGGCCGTAAACGCGTGTGTTTATTTATTCTTGCTTACTTTTCCTCCCCTTACTCGACGTTTCATCTTCTTTGGTCTACAAAAACAAACAGTCAAAACAATATTATTACATAAAGACTTGATAATTCTTTGAGATGTATAGTCTTTAAAATTGTCGGAAAAACGTGAAAAAATCTGAAAAATCAGTATTTTCCAGAGTCCAAGAAAACTCATAAGTCTTATTTCATCCACAACCCTCAAATAATATGTTAGCTGGTATAAAAGAGTTTTATCTAAACAAAGAAATTCCCATTTGGCTGAAATCACAGAAACTGGACTCTTTTCTTTAGAGTTGGTCATAATTATTGATCAATTATGACAAATAGTTACCAGTTACAAAAAAGTTGACAAATAATCAATGAATTATTATAAATCTAATAGAAACAATACAAATTAAATAATACAAACAACATATTTCTTTTAACCCACCACCACTTTACTGCGCTTCCCCTGTCCATTACTTGGTTGGTTTGGCGTTTCAAAGATGGTCGGTACGGCGTCCTCCTTCAACACAGCACTCTGAGCGTCCTGAAAATAAAAACAGGCCACAAAAAATAATTATTACACAGAACTTATAAAGACTGAGAACAGAGATTAGGTTGCATTTTTATTCAAACTGACATATTCAGGAGGCCCAACATAAACTACCAAATGAATAATTACTGAAATAATATTTGACTTGATGATAAGCATGAAGTCAGGGTTGTACTGACTTGGTCGTTTGCATTTTGAAAACTCACTTTATCAATCGACGATGTTTCAAAATGTTTCCCACAGAGTCTGTAGAGTCTGTACAGCTGCTCCGCTGGTTTGTCTGACAGATCTTCTCTTTGACATTTTTCAACCCACTTCTTGGACCTGAAAGGAGAATTAAACCAAGGTTGTTAAAAAAGCAGTACTCCTATAGTAAGTGCTATTTTGTTAATATGGCGCCTCTTTAAATTGATCAAATACAACAGGCAAATGGCACCTTAAGACTCCAGCTACTCTCTGCTCACTGGCCGGGTCCCATTCTCGTTGTCACCACAGGTTTTTTTTTTTTTTAGTTTATTTTGTGCTATGTCTACATGTGAACAAAGACTAATAGACTAAAAAAAAGGTTTTAAAAAAACAACAACAGAAATTTAGCAACTTTGCATCCAGTGCTGTATGAAATCTAAACCATATCCACTCAATATCACATGCAACAATGACTGAAAATGTATTAGGAAACTTGAGACTACTTATACTATCAAAACTGAATAAAACTTCAAGTGAAGTCACTCAAGCAGCCAAGGAAAAAATGCTATACTCCAAATAGCTCAGACTGAGAATAAAGAAGTATTTTCATTGCAAAATTTGGAGATAGTCATTTATTCTATTAAAGGTGCACTATGTAGATTTGGTAGTGAAATTTGAAAGTTTCACATTTTTCTACCAACTCTCCATAGAGCACCTTTAACCAAACATGCACGTTGTATTCTGTAACACAGGTTATGCAGAGAAACGCATTTTAAAACGGTATAACTCTTATTTATTATTCTATTACTCTTATTTCTGTGATGACATAGTGTCTGAAGTTTATATGAAATAACTGTTAAGTGTCCTTATTGTTCTATAGACTCGGTAGAGGACGCATGTTCAATATGAGCTGCAAACTGTGTTTGACTCCAAAGTGTCTGTAGAGGAACTTTAAGTTTAGATGCAAAATTCAGCAGCATGTTGTGTTTAACATATTTTGCATTGTCCTGCCTGCGAGATGCAATATTTTAAACCACCTGTAAAGGGGTTTAATAGTTTGCAGAGAATGAATCTGTCAAACTTTTGAATAGTTTGCATGTTGAGAGCTACTTCTACATGTGTACAGGCTCCATGAAGGATGTTCTGCATGATAACATACAGTCATTTAATGCTGCTGAGATAACTCTGCTTAAACGACAATTCAATCAAAGTTAACTAATGCTGTCTTTTTTTGTTACCTTCTACAATGAATACAACAACTTGTGTGTGCATTAGCATCAGCAGACATTATTACCTTTCTGGATCACTCGGGAACCGGAAGAGAGGCTGTGGGTCTGAGTTTCCACTAGCACAGTTTGTCACGGCGCACTGATTCTGCATTTTAAATGTTTATCATAAACCAGGTTTACACGGAGAAAGCCTTTGAAGATAGACAACTGTGATAGCTTGTTAGCTATCAAGTCACGTTAAGGAGCAACAAAACTTCCGTTTCCTTTTCAAAATAAAACCAACTGTTTGAGTGGATTAAAACATAATGGCTCTTTGCAACATGACTGTAATACAAAGAACAACATTTTATTATCTACAAGCCTCTTGGTATACGTTTTACATCCTGTCACCGACAAATAGCTCACAATGTACTTCCTGTTTTTAATAGTAATTTGAATTTTATTTTGAAAACGATTTTTCTAGCTCATTCAAACAACATGAACCAAATCGCGCGCTTCCATTTCCCAGAATCCTTAGCAGTATTTTCAAATACCAATAGGATAAACCAAACATGCCCAGGCATATTTCAACACAAACACAAGTCCTTCTTAAAGCTTTATAGAGCTTAAGTTAGAATAATTAACATGACTATTACAGCATTGTTATAACAGATGTCTGCATTTTTCTATTTGTGTGTAAATAGTGTTAATTCTTTATTTTATATTCTTAATTGATCCTGGAGGAGACATTTTGGTTTACACTAGAGTCTAGTCTATAAATAGGTTTACACTGTGTTATTGAGAGACTACTCACACACATAGGCTATAATAAACACATGCACAAACAGATTCTGGGTTATTGGAGAGTTGTCAGAGTAGGGAGCGCAGCTGTTGGGGGTTCAGTGCCGCCTTGCTCAAGGGCACCTCAGCAGTACTCTGGAAGTGACCTGGTACCTGTCCAGCAAACAGACCAACATCAATATCCCTATAGACTGAGCCTCTGCCCCCCCTTCCTATCCTATAATGCTGCTCATGTATAATTGTAAATAGTGTTCATATGTTCATACATTCAATTGTGCTTGTGTGTATTAGCCAATTAGAGACAACATAGAGACTAGGAAATAAAATTGCAGCATAGCCTACTACTGAAAATGTTCAATCAATCAATGATGAGAATCAGAGGGGATTAAAAATAGGTATACCCAATGAAGACTGAAAAATAAGTGGTACACTCTGTATACCTGTGTATACCCTGCACTGCACCACTGCCTATAAGCTGCTATTAAGACAGATGATGGTACAAAAGGCATTAATGTGCTGACTTACACAATCAAATAAGAATTTCAGAAACAAGATTTTGTTTTCATTGGTCTCCAGGTGATTACTACAACTGACATGAGGTCATAAAGTTTGCTTTCATACTTGATTTATGTATAAATATAAAAACAATCAGACATTACAGTTTACAATATGTGTCAAAAGTTCAGGATTAAAGTCATTGACATATAGACTTATTAGTTACATGTTTAAGAAACTCAAAATATGGTTCTATTTTAAATGAAATAGTTCAAATGTTTAAATAATTCTAATAATGTTTACTAACTGAGTTGTTTCGTCATGCACTGGGCGTGTGGCTCTGAGCATGGACCGGTACTAAAGGAATCCTATTTGGGTTCAAACATTCAAACAGAACACGAGGTTTGTTTGAAATGTGTGATGCTCAAAAACTCCCGAAACTCTCGCTCTAAATATCGGGCCACTCCATTGGTTGGTTTTGACATCTCGCGATACTTTTGGACCAATCGCAGTGCAGCCGCGACAAGTCAAATCGAATGAGCTCTCCGCACTGAGGCAGACGGACGTGTTAGTGTTTTGCTGAGGAGTCGTTGGAGTTTGACACTACAAAGGAGGACAAGAGAGTAAGTTAACATTTCATCTTTCTATACTTTAATACAGGTGGAGATATAGTCAGGACACAGCAGTAGAAACTATGTTAAATGTTTTTGTACAGCTTCTATCAACGACATCCTGATATTTACTTTTTCCAACGTGCCAATAAATGAACAGTTTTCTAAGTGACTTGTATTGAACATGTTGTCGAAACTGAGTATTTTAACGCAATATCAATAACGAACACTTTCATATGTGTGTTGAAACTACTGTGTTACATAGAGAGTCAATTCAAGTGTAAACCCAGCACGAATTATGTAAATTAAAGATCGTGTTAAACCTGTTTTATTCAGTATGAAATCATCTTAATGTATTCTTCTGTTTACCATCCAGAAATCTGCATTCATTAACCTGGCTGAGGCTTTACCATGGACGTCGTCACAGTTTCAACAAGAAACTACTCCAAAAACAAGGTAGGAATGTATTACCTGTAATATGTGGTTTGACCTGAATCAGCCCCAAACTAACCCACCTTGTTGTGCTTATTGTTTTAGGGAAACAAGGAAAATGCTCAGCCGACACTTGGAAGAAAGACTAGTGTTAAAAGAGAGAAAAATTCTGCTCCTCCCTTCCAACTGAAAAGTAACAAAAAAGAGGAGACCCTGGCCAAAAGTGGGCCGCTCAAAGCCAAAGAAAAACAAACAGACACTAGGTCAACTTCTGGCGAGGCTCTGAAAAAGACTGTGCAGAGAAATGTGAGAGGAGCTACAGTTACTGAGGTCAAACAACGTCAAACACACAGCCAGGCCTTCCTCTCTGAACAGGCTGTGAGACACAAAAAGATGGTCGCAGAAGCTCCAAAGCCTCCAGCTGCAGTGACATCATCAAAACCTGCTCCTGGCACGTACAAAGGAAGGATTGTCCAGTCGAAAATCGGATCCATTTGGAGGTCAAGTGTTGCTGTGGGCGCGGTGGATCCCAAGCCGTCAGCACCAAAAACAGAGATCCAAAGGGTTGGAAATGTAACTAAAATAAGGTCCAAGTCTGCTGTGGACGCCCTGGGGAATGGCACACAAAAGCCTGTACCTCTAAGGTCAGTGTCAGAGAAACCTGCTCTGGTGTCCAAGCGCCCCGTCACCAGCCGTCCTCCTGCTGGATTCCGCTCTGCTCGCCCTCCTGTCAGAACCATCCCAGCAACTCTGACCAGTACCAGCACCAGAAACACTAAAGTGGCTCCCATCAAGGCGAGTGGGGGTCTGAACTCAAAGCTGAAGGTTTCAGTGACGGACAGGAAGCTCAACAAACCTCCTGTCTCGAGCACCATCAGTCAGTACAGATTAAACGTGGAGAGTGCTGAGGAGAGAAGGTACATTTATTAAACAAGAATTTAAAACTGATACGATTTTACCAAAAATAAACAATATTGAAACCTGTTTCAATACCACAGCAACACAAATACGAGTTATAGGCATCCAATATTGCGTATTGTTTTGAATTACCAGAAAAATTGGGCAAACCTCTGCACCCTGTTAAAGGATGGCAGCTTTGGTTAAGAATGTGTGTGAAGATCTGAAGGTTGTTTTTAAAGCTCCAGTGATTTTAGATACTGCTGATTGTTTTATTTTGAAACATTTGGACTTGAAAAGCATCCAAGTATTGTATTTGACAACCCTGCATTCAAATTCACATTTGAATTTACATCAACAATATTTAATAAGGATGTTTTTTTTTTTAATTTCCTCTGCAGAGCTAAACTTGCAACTTGGCAGGCTTCCAAGGGCAAGACGTTCAAAAGACCAGCCATGACAGCAGCAGTACAACCGAAAACCAAAGTCTCTGCTAAACCGGACTGTGTGTGTGGGCCTAAACCTCAGTGTCAGTCTCTTGTTAAGACTCGGCCAGCTCAAGCAAGCAGCATTGATCCTGAGCCCGGTCTGGAAGCACAGAATACTTGGAGAGCAGAGGTGGCATCACACAGCCAGACTCCAGCGGTCATGAACACGACGCTGGACTTGCTTGAAAACTCTGATGATGTGTTTTATGGCCAGCAGGACGGAGTGGATGATGTAAGGACACGGGCCGGGATTTCACTGCATTTAAAATGTAACCTTCCACAGCGGTTAAATATGTTCTTGTCTTTGTTTTCACTTTGACAGATTGTTGTGAACCTGTGCGACGCTTTGGAGGCCTTGGCCACACCCTCAGGATGCAGTGATGGTGAGTTCATATCATTATTATATTATATTCATTAATCATCATCTAATGAATAATGAAGGGTGTTAAAAGGCCAGTATTGGATTGTCTGTGTGTGAACACACTTAAGTAAGAGGAGTAAGTTTGAACAATTTCTACAAATGTCAAAGATCTAGATCAGGAGACTTCATTTAGAAAACTTTTGCAAAACTGGAACACTCTCAATCATTAGGAGGTCGGCCGCTGTTGCACCAAAACCTTCCCAACCAAAGCACTGAAAACATGACGTTGAATCATTAATGTGTTTTACAGTTTGTAACCTAACGTCAGACGTCAGAGTCCAAAAAATGTCTCAATCAACAAAATTTAGACTTCTTTCCTTTTCTGTTTCCTTTAGAAGTTTCACAGATGACAGATGTGTGCAGAGAGGTCGAAGTTGAAAACGGAAATGAAGACAAAGATTGTGAAGGAGAGGAGGAGCTGAAGGATGAAGGACCTGAGAATGTTAGCGAGCAGCTGAAGGATGAAGTGGAAGTGGATGATGTGGAGGAAGTAGAAAGTGATGAAGGTGTGATGGAGACGACGCCGCACAAGGAAGACGCATCAGTAGTTAAGTACAGTGTGAAGACCACACCTTACCTGCAGAGGTCAGTCCTTCCACTCGTCTTCTCGGCTGTTTTATTAGGAAACCAAGAATGAGTCAGTCGTTTATTTACCCTGTTTTTAACCTTTTTTTCCTGTTTCAGTGTGAAGAAAACAATTGAAGGGGGGGAGGTCAGCATGAGCACATCCAAGAGGAAGAGTTACATCAAAGATCTGAAGTTTCTGACCCCGGTACGTCGTTCCTGCCGCATCGAGCGTAAATCGTCTCACCTGCCCACCATGCTGCTGGATCACGACCCCTGCGTGTCGTCTCTGGCTGGGCTGGCGCAGCTGGACGACGATCCAAACGCCTACATCTTCAGAAAGAACCCTGCACTGTTAGAAGAGCTGCCCGACCAGCCCAGAATGTGAGGAGCCGTTTAATGTGCTGTTCTAAAAGAATCTTTTATAAATGTACAGGACTGACGCTAATGGACACTTTATACTGTGGTGTTTTAATGTGATTTTACTTATTGTCATTAACAGCGATTTAAGAGATTATTTTCTGGTCTGAATGTATAATAAAGACACTGTTTATCTTAATATAACATTGACATGTGTTGCCTCAACACTACAATAAAAGAAAATTGTGTCGTTTTAAATTGTTGCTTTTTTTTGTTGCAGACTTTAAAGAGTTATTAAATGCATCTTTATACAGCTCACACACTACACGTATCTACTTAAAGGTTTCTAAGCAGAAGGCAATAAATGCGATAAATCAGTTAAAATCAATCAATCGTATCTGCCACTCCTGTAGTCCACATCTTCCCCCCCATTGTTCACTTTCTACAGAGATGGCCCCATGTATATGACACCTAGCCACAACTATACAACCTTATTGACCGGGGTGGCTGACCTGGGGCAGAGTTATGCAGCGGTAGCTTGGAGTTTCTGGGCACACATGCAAATGAATTAGATTTATCACCCTTTCTATCCCCACTAATGATGTGCTTGTAAGTAAAGAATTTGGAAATAAATCTTCTTAGCTGTATCCTTTAGGGACTCAGATGTGCTTAGTCACAATTTAAATGCACTAGATACTGCATGCAATATCCGGTGCTCTTTAGCTTTATTGGCTAGTTTACCCACTGTAAGTTAGTGTGCACAGGTTTTTGCATATATTTATTTACAACAAAGTACAAACAAAACATTACTAACATAAAGACAACTACCAGCACACTTGAAAACAGCCAGAAAAGTTGATTTTAACTTTAATCTGATCAGGTAAATAGCCAATCACAGATTTGGATTTTGGTGTGGCCAATCAGAATTCAAGGGGGCTGTGCCACGCCCCTGGTTGTTGATGCCAAGGCTATACGAGTTGAAAACCACTGCATTAGTTAGTTCTAAGATCAATCATAAATTACACAGTCTGAAAAAAAGACAAAACAATGATTTGATTGTTTTGAATTCCTCTTTTATTGACCACATTGTAAAAATCCAAAACGCTCTTGAATGAACACTGCTTTCTTTTGAACGCTTCACGGTGATTTTCACTTCCCGACATCAGACTGGACGTTTGACACCCACTCCCTCTGATCCCAGATGAGACATTTCATTATAAAATAAAAAAAAAAAAAATGAAAATCATCCACAAAAAAAAACCCAAAACAAAATCTCATAGATGCAAATTTCTTCCCCGAACAAAAGTATAAAAAGTACTCTTTTCCCCGCTCATCTGCAGACCACAGGGGAAGGTGTTCAGTGCTGTGCGCTAAAAGGCTCCTTTCACTGCAATCGGAAGGTTTTATGTCCTCGAGAGACCCCGGTTGTCCAGATCTTTAACCTGAAACATCAAACACAAGACTACGTTAAAACAGTCTGTGTAATAAAAGGCTGTAAAGACTTAAGTATACCTTAATTAAACCTCACACAGATAAAGCCCTCTTATCAGTCAGACTTCTTAGGTCTTCCAGGTGTGGTTGAAACAGTTATTAAGTTTATTTAAGACCAAGAGTTCATGACCAACAAATATTTATTTTCTTAAGAATTTAAGACCAAGAAAAATCACAAAATCTCTCTCAAAAAAGTTGACCAGGAACAGTTCATTGACGGGGAGCTGGTGTGTTTCTCCCAGCCAATGAAAGCACACATTTCAGTGTTTGGACGTGATTTAAACCATCCAATATGATGGACATAGTGGCAAAGAAGAGAAAATAAAATCATAGTGACTTGAAACGGCAAGCAGATAAAGCAAACCGAGGGCTTCTTGTGATAGCTTTTACCGGTTGTCAGCTTGTGCTAGCTTGCAGTGGAGGTACAAGCAGTAAACGTGCACATCTGGGGGTGAAAAGCCAAATGTTGTGTTTACAAGCTGCAGTGAAAAATGCTACAGACTCCACCTGTAAACACCTGGACCTGTTAAATATATCAAAACAATTGCAGCTCTAATAAGAAGAAGATATCAATATGACAAGCAAAAACAAATTGTGGTTTCCAAACCCTTCATGAAGACTGTGATGTAAATGAGATGTCAAATAACAGAATATGAGGTTACCTTGTATATCCTAACCAGCCAGTGTTCTGTTGTGTAGGCCTCCTCCAACACGTCCAGTTCAAAGTCTTTGTTCCCAATCTCAGCGTTCCTCACTCTGTCATAACCAGGAGGGCGCTCTGCAGAAAACATTCACATCATCATAATAAGGCAGATAACCCTAGTCTTTGATTAAAGTAAAGAATATGATATAGCTTTTCAAACATGCCCTCCAGAGAGTCGTTTAAAAGCGGGCTCTGGTTAGAGGGTCATCAGAGATTTCACAACCTGTCCCTGTGGTCGTTACTCACTGGCCTCTGTGTAGACCTGTCCGAAGCGGTAGTAGCACATCTTGTACATGAGGCAGTTGAGCAGGACGGGCGAACCCTCGCGGTCCACTCTGAACTCTCCGGTGGGAGTGTAGTAGTCGTGCTCCTTGATGTGTTTGCCTGTGTCTGTGCTCCCTCCAATACGGACCATCCACAGGAACTTATTGATGTCTGTGACGCAGACAGAAAGATTCATTAGAGAAGTGGGGTTAAAAAATGTCTTGGCCAAATAATACCACAAGCAAAATAATCACCAAAATAAAGCATAGAACCTGTTTTTGAAAGTTTTCTAAACCCCTTTCATAAGTTTTTATTTAAAAGCACAATTTGTCATTTGAGCCGGTAGGATTCTGTTGATCGAAACAGCTACCAAACACTTTGTTTTCATGGTGCGTTCCTTTTAACCTCAGACCTCAGAGCTGGGACGACATCACAGTTAAGTGAGTTAACCGCTTTTCAGGTGCAAGTCGGCCAGGAGGACCTTTGTTTTGTCCTCTTTTACCTGACGATACTATCACACTATGTAATAGTTCACATGCAAAAATAACATGACAACATGTCTACAGATAGAAACTGCACGATACTATCAGTGTGATAGATTTCAGTACACTAAAAGATGACTAAGCTGCTAACATACACAACAGTTACATCTTAAACATTCCTGTTTATGCACGTAGCAGCCATGTTGGATCTTTTTAACTGGGACTATTGAAGTTGCTCAGAGTTTCCAAGTAGGTATTCCAACTTTAGGGGGCGTTCCTGATGACTTATTAGACCGGTAACTCAGAATTTCCGACTTCCGAAATCAAATGGAACGCACTATAATAACCTCACACTGTAGCGTGGGATCATGGGAGTTGTTGTCTTCACTGTTCAACAATAAACAAAGACCCAAATCATGTAAACTATTAAGGTTTTGCTTTAGCGTTTGAATGCCACGACATCCAGTCAATTTGATTTAAGTTCCGTCATTTCTAATAAAAGAGCTGCAGGAAACGTAAGCTAACAAAGTTGGCAGACTTCTTTCCTCCACTCCCTGACAAATAAAGTCTGGACATGTTCAATCTGAAATGTTCAGCTCCACGATTAAAAAGACATTTTTCCTTAAAATGATGTTAAAAATGAATGTAACAAGCTTTGAAGATTTTCTTTTTTGCATGGTAGGAGTGTCAGAGATTAAGATTCTTGTTTATTCATCCTGATGTTTTAAAGTTATTTTTAATAGTCTCCCAGATTTGTTCCAATCCCATTACATAAGAAACAACCGAGTTCTGATCCTTACATCTTCACCGTGTGAATGTGAGTCAGTAATCGTAGAGGTTTAACAGCGTGTGACACTCCGATGCAAGAGACGTACCATCTGAGGAATATCCCGTCAGTCCTCCGAAGATGACGAGGACGTAGCTGACGTCCAGCTCCCTCATGATCTCGTAGGCCCGCTCCTCTGTGGACGCCATCGCCTGCAGAACAAACAAAACAGCTCAGTCAACACAGCAGCACTTCATCAACATCATGACCTCGCAGGCTGTCCAGCTCACCTGTCCAACTCTTGAGATGTGCGTGTTGTTCCACGTGTTGTTGTCCACTAATATCGTTCGATTCGCCATAGCAGTTATCTGATAGCCGTAATCCCACCACGACATGACTTTGGCATCCTGAAAACACAAAACAAAAAACTCTGATTAATGTAGTTAATCTAACGTCTACAATTCAAACAATCATAACCATGTTGAAACATCCTACACTGATTAACTTCTTGTTTTTAGCGGGTATGACCGACCTCGGGGGTGTTGTGTCGGAGCCAGTAGTAAGCCTCTCTGAAGTCGTCAAAGATGATTCTGCTGCCGTCACCTCCGCGTGCCGACAGGACGATGGAGGGGGAGGAGTACGCTTCACTGGTCACCCAGGTAGAGTGGAAGGTGTATGTGATGAGGAAGAAGGCCATGACCAGAATCATCCCGCTGGCAACCTGGTGAGAGAACGAAACCAAGGACTCAAGTCAACATTCACACTTCTGTCTGCGGGACCGTCAATCCTTAGAGGGGGAATTCAAAGCTAGCAAAACTGGAACACATTTTTTTAAATTAGATGAAGGAGCACAAATATACTATTTACAAATGACACTCTGATTCTACAGTTTGATGGATGAGTGCGTCATATGGGATTATTTCAGTATGAGCACAAACAGTTTACACTCAATCCAGCTGATTTTATTTTTTTATGTGCTGCTAATGCACACTTAAGCTGTTTTTACATCTGCACTCCTGAAAATATCCAGATAGGTACAGGAGGACTGCTCTGGAGATTCTCCTGACCTGGCTGTTCACATAGGGAGACTATCCCTATCAGACAGGAAGGGGGGGGGGGGTGTGTTGTCGCAAAAAATGACGCAAAGTTGCGGAAGAAGAAACAGAGTTCACTAACCGATGCTCTAATAAGAATATTTGTCTTCATATCAATAGAATCACAATATGATAGAAGAGTGGAGAACAGAAAACATAGTGCAGCAGTCTAATCACGAGCACGGAGATTGTAGTGGTCGTGTGCAGACACTCTACGCACCGTGCAGCAGTCGCAGTATATAAACAAAAACACTCCCCCATTGGATAGAGGAGAATTCTCCTGATAATATCCTGCTGCATTCTCACACCAGTCCACTCAGACTTGATGTAGAAAAAAATACTAGGGGTCTGGCAGGAGAAACTCCGGGTGAAGCCAGAGCGAAAAATTCAGCTTTTTGCGTTCACACATACAGATCCTCCTGGAAGTTTTTCAGGAGTTTTCTGCAAGTGTGAAAGAA